TCGCCATGCAATATAGTAAAGTCTATTGAAACTTTTAATTTCTTTTTTATTTTTTTTATAATAATACCTCAAAAGTTTTTTTGTTAGTTATTTTTGGTTCATTAAAAATTAACTATTTACTCTTTTATTAACATTAGGGTTTATTCAAAATCATGATATTGGCCACAAATCATTTTGAAGTTAATCGTTAGCAATTTTTTTTTACACAAAAAAATAGTGGTATATGAAAAAATTAACTATATATAGCAGAAATATTGAATGCTTATAAGTTGAATCCTGAAATTGAGTTGAAAAGTCTTATTATGTAGTTAGGATATCTAGGATTCGGAAATTTGCAATAGCTAATCTATGAGGAATTTCCTCTTTTAAAATAACTAATCTTTAAGTATAAAAAATACTCAGTTGAGCTCGTGGAGTCTAGAAATAGTTGCTTTATTGTAATTCAATTGTTTCTCATGTTTAACACAAAAATTTTAACAATAATTATATAATATCAAATAAGTAAATATATGTCGATTCATAAGTATAATTGAGAGAAAAGAGTTGATAATACCTACTATTACATATTATAAGAATTTATAACCAACAATTGTTGTTAATACCTACTATTACATATTATGAGAATTTATAACCAGCAATTGTTGTTAATAAATTATTTTCATTAAACTAAATATATACTTTTTTAGGAGGCAAAAAAGAAAAGAAAAGAACTAAAAGAAAAACAAAGGGGAAGACAGCTTTAATTAAATTTTAATTATTGGGTTGATTACATATATATTTTCATCTGCTCTAGACAAACATTCTTAAAATCAAGTGGATAAAGTTTGTTTTGCACTTTGGTGGGGGCTTGTAATCGTACCTTGAACTAATTTGTCATCTTTGGTCAATTGTGTTTTGTCACTTTTGTTTTCAGGTAAAACCAACCATACAATAATGCAGTGTATGGTATAAACCTTTCTATATAACCGCTGCTTTTCAGTTAGTTGCCTCCATTAGTTAGTTATACCTATCATTGCACACAAAATTAAACATTGGGAAAATCAAAACACACAAACAAATATATATTATGCATCCATGCCATGATCATCATTCATCATCCCAATATATATCAAAGCAAAAAAAATTTTCTTTAGGGATTTTGATATAGTAAATAAACAGGCAGATAAACGGAATTTTTCCCATAAGAGAAACCGACAGAGAGTATCTATCTTTGGAGTCCTCTTTTTCATTCTTTACCACTCCCATATATATTCCTCAAGAATCAAATTATGAAAAAAGACAGCTATATATGCTTGGCAAATTAAGCCTTTCTCCATGTGCAAAATTAATTGCATAATTCAATAATCTCCATTTCTCCACAAATATCTATAGATATCTAAAATTGGTGTAATCTAAGATTTGATGACAAAAATAAAGATGGGGGTGCATGGTGGGACTAACTTTATTGGTTGCAGAGAAAAATCTGGACAGTGCAAGTTGTCAAGAAAGCTCCTTCTCTCCATACACATTCATACACACATGCAAAGAGAGAGGAAAAGAAAAAAGCTAATAAAGCTTAAAGGGAAGAACAAGTAGAAGAAGAAGAAGAAGAATGCAACGCACTCTCATGTGTGCAATTATCGAGGAAGCTTCTCTCTTTATGTTCGCAAAGTACTCCTCTCTCTCTCTCTCTGCAGCTAAAGTAGTACTCCAATATGCATTGCATGACAAGCGCATAATGTGAATCTATACATGGCACAAATCATTAGTTAGAGTAATGGATAGATTGATTGAGATGACATGATCCTCCCCCGGGCACGTCGTTCGATGCAAAATGCAAATGATTTGCTTCTCAAATTCAAAAGTACTTTGGATTCTGCAGTTTGCTTACTCAATTTGCCAGCTTTAGGGTTTTGTGAGTATTGAATTTTGTCTAACAAAGTTGAAAGTACAGCCACGGAAACTTCTTTTGTCCCCTTCTTCCCCCACCTCCATCCCCATCAACCTCTTTAAGCCTATACCATACGCCTACTAAATAAAGCTTAGCTATTCCTTAGACAACAGCTTGGAAATTGCTTTTGGGCCTACTCTTTAGTTTAATTTAATTGTAAGATTGGCAGAAAAATAGTGTACTAATGAAATTTACTATTGAATCTTTCTTTTATTTGAAGGCGAGCAAAAGCGTGTGGAAAGAATAGGTGGATAAGGCCTCTTATTAAGGTTTATGTATTCCTTACATGGGGAGTGGTAGGGGCACTCGCCTTCTGCACTCTCCGGCCAACACTTTCACTTTTATTGGGCCACGTTATTCTGATCGGTGAGAGGTTGCTCCTCAAAGCTGAAACAAGCTTACGTTGCCCAATGAAAGGGGAAGTGTTGGTCGGAGAGTGCAAGAGGCGAGTGCCCCTAGCGCTGCCCTCCTTATATTGGGCTGTTTCTTCAAACTTTGCATCCATCATGGGCCTCCCTTCTTTTCTTTATGGGCTTTGATGGACCTATTTGATAGAGTCCAAGATGCTTTTTTTGGGCTCTCTATTGTGGTTTTTTTTTTTAGTCCGTATTGAGCTTCATGATTTCATTTTTTTGAAAGGTAAAGATTGTGAGGCACATGATCATAAATTGTGTGTGAAACGAAATTTCTCTTTTTTTGGCTGAAAATAATGCTCTTAATGAATTAAAGGTAAATTGGTCTTTTTTTCTATGATTGACTTTTTTTAGTTAGTCCACACTTAAAAGTCACATGTTTTAACCATTTTGCCAGTTATATTGATAAATTCTCTTTTTTCTTTTTCAGCAAAATGATGATATTCATTAAAAAAAAAGAATTTACAGATTGGAAAGGAAAATGTATAATAGTGCCAGAAAAATCTAAATTGATTAATCCAATAAACATTAAACTTCAAGCTCTTCTATATTCCACAACGTGATGCAAGAAACAAATGTGAATAACCAAACTGTTAAAGTCCTTCAAGAGCGAGAAACTAAACACAATACATTAATCCTTCCGATATTATTCAATTCCTCTTTCACATAATTTCATTAAGGCTCTACAGCAATAAAAAGAGAGAGTGACAATAAAAGACTTCTGCTCCCTTACTTCCAACCAATGCAAAATTGTACTTTTAAATTGCTTAGTAAGATCGACTACATTTAGATGAGAGACTCAAGGCATGAGGGTTGTTTGCTTCTGTGAAATCCAGCAAGTGGTAATTAGTTTCCTCCAATCTCTAATTACATTTTCTCCACTAATTATAAAAGCTTTACTTTTCATAAAATGTTTATGTGGCTTGTAATAGAAAAACTTTAACAATAAAAATCAAAGTCACGTGAAAGGCGCATTTGAAAAACAGATGCGAGACAGGATTCTTTATATGGTAACTGGTTTCACATGGAATGCTTATTATGTTAATAGACACCTAACCACTCGTCCGTCCCAATTTTATGAGCACATTAATTAATTAATTATTTTTTTTGTATCTTGAATTGCATAATGAGAGACAGTTTTCTTTCATTCTTTAACTTATTCTATTAGTATTTCATACAGCTTGAATTTAAGATATCTTATTTTTAATAAAATAAGATTATCACTAAGTTACTAAGTCATTGGCATTAATTAATTTATTTTTATATAAGAGATTGATGAAAATTAAAATGTTCTAACAATTAAAAAGCCTGAATTGATAACTAAAAACTAAAATATTATTAATAAATTAACATATAAAAATAACTTATTAAGAGTATTTGAATTAATTTTACAAAAGTCCTGATATTTTAAGTTTCAATACATCCTAATTTTCACTTATAAAAACTCAATTAAGGAGTAAACAAATGGATATAAAATTAAATGAATTTTTAGTTTTGTAATTCAAATTGTATTGAATTATAAAATAAAAATCAATTAACAAGAAGACAACTTCTTTTTTTTTTTTTTTTTGAATTAGTACAATTGAAAGATAGGGAATAGGATTGTCAAAACTTGAATCTAAGACTTGAATTAGACTTCTAAATGCCACCACAGTTCTCAAAGGAATTGTGACCTAATGGTCACAATGGTGGTTGGCCTTTCCCTTGTATTGAGATACATCTTTTCTTCTAGAAAGTAATAATGCATGTTTACACTGTGAACGATTGGATGAAAGGGCTCTGCCTTTGTGGGGCCAGACTCATCCAATGACTCACATTTACACTCCAATGTGGTTAGAGTTGCAAAACATATTTTTGTTTTGTAGTTGTCTTCCGAATTTCAAAATTAAGAGTGCATATGATATGCTATATATGATCATGTACAAAGTAAGATGGAATAAATATACGTATATTGATTCACCTGTTTTACTAAATGAATTGACAAATGATCACTCAACTACTTATTTAATGTTTCATCACATTTTACAAACATTACAAAATAAAAAATATTTACATTTGTAATAAGTCTTTAATTGTGCCTAATCACGTCTCGAAGCATGCAGAGAGCAGAAATAATTGTGGAAGTTTATTTGAGTCTGTTGCCTAAATATGTACATTTTAATAGACTAATTAAGGATTGATTTTGAGATAGTGGTGATGAAAGCAGCTCAGAGGGAAGGAAATGCTACTTGGCATATGTTTCAGAAGGGATTGGAAAAATTCAGGACTGAAAAATGGTAATGAAATTTCAAAGAGAAAACGGATCTCTGTTTAACTCACCATCAGCCACAGAAGCTGCTCTTACTCACACTCACAACGCCGGTTGCCTTCATTACATTCATTCACTCTTGGAGAAGTTTGGGAATGCAGGTCCAAGTCTCAGACCCACACCACAGGAAATCTGTATTATTTTATGCAACTGTTTAATTCTAAAGTGCCTGACGGCCCTGACATAAGTTCTCTTCTCTTCAGTACTACAGTTTGTCCTTTGGATATCTATGTTCGCCTTTGTATGGTGGATATAGCCTTGAAGCTTTGGGAATTAAACGTTATTTCAGGAAGGAAATTGAGAGTGTACTGGATGAAACATACAGGTAGTCTTATGTTTGCCTATATAAACACTGCCCATTGGCTCTGAATAAGGATTGTTATAAAGACGCTGTTTAAATTTATTGCTTATTGTTTGTTCTGCTTGATTCAAAATCAATGACACAACTGTGTCAACAGATTCTGGTTACAGGGTGAGGAAGAGACATTCCTAAATCCTGCTGCTTGTGCAATGGCTTTTTGGATACAACGTTGTCATGGGACTCATGGATATGATATCTCTTCACTTATCTTGTTTAGAAGACTTGGTGTTTAAAACAATTTAGAATTTGTATTAATTACAAAGGTTCTCCCCCTGTGTTGACATAGTGCTGCAGATCAGTTAACTCAATTTGGTAATGAGCATTTCTTCGACACAGTTGAAGGATATATGAAGGATATAGGTTCTGTCTTAGAATTATTCAAAGCTTCAGAGATAGTCTACCTGGATGATACATTTTGGGGAGACATACGGCTTAACAGGGCGACATTGAATGTCGCCTTAGATGTTTCGACAGTACGTTGAAATCCAAAGACTAATCTAATAATTTCATGGGTCTTCACATATTTAAACCATTCTTTCCTTCTATATTTCTTTGATGTGAGATTTTAACTCTTTACACTCACAAGAGAAACATACTACTTCAACATCCTGAAACAGGAATTATCCAATGGCTCGGTTTGTGCGGATAGAGTTGGTGTGTGCATTAGACAGCAGGTATTTCTTTTAGTATGCTGGAAACATTCAAATGCTTCCATTTTGCTGACAATAATTCTGGGAATATTGAATCTTTACCATTTCTAGGTGGATTACGTTCTTGAGTTTCCCTACCATGCAAAAGTGGAACGCTTTGCACACAGGAGATATGTGGAGCAGTACGGTGGAGATTGTACAGGAGTTCTTAAAAACTTCATTTTGGTGATCCTTCTATATTGTTATTCTTTTTTGTGTTCCTTATGTATATATAAATAATTATTTGCTTATCTTTTTCTTCTCATCTTGTAGTTCTTCAAACATTGCCAATGAAGATTTCCTCAAAAATCGCTGTGGAAGGCTTCCAACATGTGCCAGTCTATACACCGTGAAGAACTCAAACATCTTGAGAGGTGAATGTTTCTGCAAACATTGGCATTTTCATGGAATGTTTCATGAATCATGGCTGCAGGCTCAAATTGATTACCTCCTTTTTTCAGTTGTTCCAAAAATAATGACCAAAAGTTTCATAACATAATAGGTTGCCCCTTGTATGTAAGTAAGCAGGTGGGTCGTAGAGAAAATATTGGACAAGCTTAAGTTCGCGAGGCAGAGGGAGTTATACTTCTCTGTTGCCGCAATCCTCTTCTCGCCCGGACAATCTGATGCTTGCATGTCATGGGTGAAAAATTGTGTGCTTGCAACTGTGGTTGATGACTTATTTGATGTTGGAGGTTCTGAAGAGGAACTGGTAAACCTTATTTAGTTGGTTGAAATGTATGTTCTTTTCCCATATTCTTTCCATTCTGTTTTGATCACCTCTGGTGCATCACTTCTCTTAATCCTCTTGAATAGCGCCTGTCTTTATAGAGGAACTGACTCATAAAGAAATTGAAAACGGGTAGGATGCCCATTTTTGCTCTGAGAATGTTGAGGTCATTTTTTCTGCACCTCAAAGCACTATCTCTGAAATTGTTGAGAAAGCACTCGTCACAAGGACGTGACTTAACAAGTCATGTTACTCAAATTGTAAGACAAGATAGTTACTTCCACATTCAGAACTTTTGTTTATGTGAAATCTTCTGATGACATTTGGGATGCAAAACTGTTTTGCCTTGCAGTGGTTGGATGTGCTCAAGGGTATGTTACTGGAAGCTATGTGGTTAAGAAACAACTCAGCGCCAACTCTGGATGTATATATGGCAACTGCTCACAAAACCTTGGTCTTAGGGCCAGTTGTTCTCCCAATTCTATATTTTCTTGGGCATAAGCTTTCGGAGGAGACAGTTTAAAGCCCTGAATATAAGAATCTGTTTAAGCTTATGGCCACTTATGGACGTTTCCTCAATGATATACAGAACTTGAAGGTAGATTTCTTCTCTGTGGGAGAAAATATAAAAGCAAGATTAATTAGTTTCATGTGTAATGTTATTGATGATTCATATTTTTTATTGTAGATGGAATCAAAGGCAGGAAAACTGAATGATGGGTTCACTTCAAATAGGATGACTGATTTTTGTCAAGACAATGTTCTATGAACCTATAAAACTTTGAACATTTTCCATTTATTTTGTTTGATTTCTAACATGTATTGCGTTAGTGCTTGTTCTGTTCTAAAAGAAAATGTCCTTAATTAAATGTCTATTTCTGCTTGCTCCCCAATGATCAACTAGCACCCAAAAATGAAAAAGAGATTTGAAAGGGTTACTATATATGTATGTCGTGGCA